TGACCACACATTGTTTTTATTGTGGGTTTCAGGAAAGGTCAGAAAATATGATATAAAAAGCCAGATGGGATATAGTAGGAGGAGAGGACAAAGGAGAAAGACATAAAAAAAAGTGATACAAGGTATAAGACAAAAACAACGGTTAAGTAAACACAGGATATTGGATTGGTCCCGTTTTATGATGTTCTAGAATTTTTTGATGTATTTGAGTGTGTGTCAAAGTGCAAGAACTTCTCCATTGAAGCAGTATTTAGATTTTAGTAATGCAAATGTGACGTTAAGTTTTGACCATGTTTAGAAAATGTTTTTAGCAACAATCAGAATCTCTTTTATAATCAATGAGATAAGGGCTTCATAAATCACAAGCTTGTTTAAAAAATCTGCAATTAGTTTAAAATGTTCTAACAGGAGTCTAAGTAAAATCAAAATAAGTAAATCTTTAATTTGATTACTACTCTAAGAAATGACTTTGCACAGCAAAAAAAAAAAAATCAGCGCAGTTAAAGACCAGATCAAATATTTAGATAAAATAAATGGAATTGATCTATATCTCTTTTTTTGTTGTATATTGATTCTAGAAGCGTTTTTGTAATCCATGACTTGACGTGTGTCCCTTCATGACAGACCTCTATTCATCTTAGCCATTCTACAACCCAAACTAAGAAATGCTAAAGATATGAAAACTCAGAAGTAAACAAAGAGAAAGATAAAAGTGCATGAAAAACAACAACATGTTTGGGAAAATTCTTCAGAGGCGGACTGGAACCATTTTTTATTTTTTTATTTTTTAAAGAAATGTGACAGCCGAGGGTGACAGACAGAGCAAGCAGAAGATTTGTAATAGGCAGATAAAGAGATAGAGAGGCAGAATGACAAAGAGGAGGAATGACAATGGTGCCAAAGCTCCTTCCATCCTTCTTGCAAACATCACTGATCCCCCTTTTTCTCTCATTTAAATTCCTTTCTATTGTCATTTCAATCCAGGCCTAACCCCCACTGCCTGGCAAACACACACGCACACAATCGCTCGCAAACACTCACGGACATTAGAGCGAACATGTATTGACCTCCGGCAGCAAGCGGGACAATCCCAAGGCGCAGAGCTCACACATCTCTGATAATCCTTATCAGTGAGCACACGCTGACAGTGTCTGCTGGAAAGAGAGGCTCAAGTTTCACCAGACTGCAGATGTCTGTGAGACCCTATCCATGCTAACATGGGTGGGGGAACGGGGAGCAGCTTGTCACCAAACATCCCCACTCTTGTCAGCCACACAAGGGCAAGCAGAGTAGCACGGCGCTCAGCTGTGCCTTGTCAACATGTATTGTTGACATGGCTAACTTTATTCTCTTCCTCGCCTAACACGGTGCAAAGACTTGTCAGCAGGCATGCTGCTATCAGTAGTGGCCGCTTGAAACATACTCAAGGCATCTAATAGCACAAACAAGCCTCGAGTGGAATGTCTAGTCAGCATGGTTAGGACATGGTTCATTATTGCAAATTCGGGGCGCATCATTACCTTGTCAGCACCTCATTGTCAGAAATGAAAGCTGATCCTGGCCTAAATGCTCCGGAGGCAAGCGGCAAAGGAATTTTCTAAATGTAGAGCATTAATAGGTTCGTATAATTTATTTCATTAATGCTCCATTAATGAAAAATGTCTAGTCAGATATTGGACTTGCGGACAAATGATCTAGCATGTGTTGTAGATGAGACACATTCCATTTATCAACAGAATCGGAGTCAGAGTTCCAGGATTAAACGGTTTTCCACAACAGGTCATTTAAATGTAATAGACTGTCAGAGGCAGGGGTCAAAGAGAACCATGGCAGTGATAGACAAACTGCAGATTGACTGGAAAGATGATAGAAAGAGCTACGACAGAAAGAAACACCAAGCAATTTATTTGAAGTTTGACAAAACTTCACTGACAAATGCAGTGTCAAGAAAGAGACACTTATTCAATCATAATTACATAACGGATACAAATTATTCCTGTATTGCTGTCACTAAATGAAAACTATTGCTGTCTATTCTTTCTGAAATGTCCCTCAACTACATCTGTTTGTTTAGAACGTTAACTAGTAAACTCTATTAAGAGTTGTTATGGGGAAAAATGAAAGAAAATTACCCATTTTGAAGAGGAGGAAAATTTATCCTGACGCCTGACATAATGAGTGAACTTGGAAGAGCTCTCAGGTCATTTTGAATCCATTAGGACAGAACAGGCTTTTAGGTAACACACACACACACACACACGCACGCACACACACACACACAGATCTGCACACTTGTTGGTGAAACAGCGGCTGACGCAAGCACAGGCAAAGATGAAGAAAATCATTTTTAAGAAATGTACTTGTCATAATTGTAGAACCCAAAATTCAATTTCAAAGATAATTAAATGGCAAAACTCACTTGCAAAGGAGGAAATCAGGAAGTGAAACAGACAAATCAATGCCAATATGATTTGAAAGGAAAACATGAATCTGTGCGTATGAGTCTTTCTGAGGGACTGCATGCATGTGTAAAGGTGATTCTGCCGCCCATGCAACCCAGGGAGATCAAAACACAAACTCTCACATTACTAGTGACCCGTCCAGCCCCCCTGCCAGTGCCAACCATCAAAAACACCACCACACACAGACACACTCATCAGCAGGGGATCCATGCACTTTGCAGAGAAGCATGTCAGTGGGAACTGTTGCGGTGGTCAAAAACAGAAAGGAAGGGTTGCATCTCCATGGGCTGTCTCACATCTACAAATGATGGAGGCTTCTTTAAATGCTAAGTGAATAGTTATGAGGCAGAATATACATCACTCTTTTAGCTATTCCTTCTGATCTCCACTCCCTAACACCAGGATTGTATTGCAGAACGTTTTAGAAATGATAAATCAAATGGTCAATTTATTATTTAGCCCTCTACTTACAACACTAGAACCCTTTAAATGAAAACTACCGCAATGTGAGCTCATTCCCATTGTAAAGTTGCTCATTTATACAAACTGTGAAGTAAATACTTCATACCTCTTGATGCCATCTCCATAGTCCAAAAACGACAAAAGAGAATACAAGTATAAACGCTGTTGTGAATTTTATTGCCTCTAAAGGTTACCTATTTGTACCTAGTGTCTGTACATATGAGCATGTGAAAGAGTCTAGTTTCTTGTTTGTGCAGACAATCTTGGCCAATGAAGTTGATTCGAATTCTGCAGCTCAATATTTTTTTTTTTTACAACAGAATTGTGATTGGTTGATTAGGTATTTGCTATTTTGCAGGTTACTAATTAAACTTGAGAATTTATTTTGGACCGATAAAGAGAACAGTTCTCTAAATTTTGACAAATGTGAGCTATTTATACCCGTTTACATCCTGTCCTATTCACATTTTCAATACTTAACCATAGTGTCTTTCCATTTTATTGCATAAAAACTAATGTCTTTCTTTTTTTGCACCTGTGGATTGCATGCATCGTTACCAGATCCAATATGTGCTTCATTTCTCATTCATTTGTCCAATAAACATTTTCCTGCTGTATCAACAATGGACTCTGTTAAATCTCAAATTCTGTAAATAACCTTCAACTTCTGAGAGATTTTTTCAGTGACAGAGTATTTGTTTCCTCATCATTTCACATATCCAGCATTTCTGCATTTTGCTCACGTCTTGTAAAAGCGCGTCACTGCAACCACCGGACCACAAGACAGACGATCCCGAGGGAGAGAATAAATTCTTGAACTTGGACTCAATTATGGCAATGGCTGAAAAGAGATTCTCAGAGTAATTATACTGCATTACACCTGTTTTTCAGCATAAGCCTAGAGCTTCAGCAGTCTACTGGTTAAATCCATTGGCACAGGGGAAATCTAAGTGGGTGGGGGAAGCACATATGCAATGCCTACCAACCCCCCGACCCCCACCCACCACAATTGAAGACAAGCTGTCCAAAAGCAAGGCTCATAAACTCCCGTTTGTTGTCTGCAGCAGTCCAGTGGAAAACAATCTGCATTTGGTAACTCTTTATGCAAATATCATTCTTCATTTATGTATAAATCTATTATGAACGACTTCAGGCAAAATTTTTTTTATAATTTATTTTTGTGATATTTAATTTTAGCTTCAGCTCTGGATGAGTGAATAAAAGTGTGTAAGCATACTATCCTTGTTCAAAGTAGTGCGGCAGGCTTGGACGTCCCTGTATGTAACCCAATAGTCCTGAGGTGTCTGAATGCGCTGCAGTGGCCTGCATGGAATCTGGATATCTGTCTACATGTGTGTCCATGCCGTCTGCATATTTCGTGTGTGCGCGTGTGTGCATGCGTGTACAGGCATGCCAGAAAGTTCCTCCCGGGTGGAGGGTAAAATCTGCATTCCAACTTTTTCTGTATCTGACCGTCGACATATGTATGTCGCTGGCATTTCTGGTCAGAGGAACTTTATACGGCTCCCCAGAGTTCTTTCAACACCGACCGCTCCGCGCACACACTCACAGACTCACACATCCTTCTGCTGACACATGCATGTCACCACGGCAACCAGATACAACCGAAGATGTGATATTGACAGAGTAGCAACAGTACCGGTGGTCTCAGAGGCTCCAAACATACAGATTTCTCCTAATCATTTTAGAGAAAAACACTTGAGAATCTTGAATATTCTACAAATCTTAGAGTGTAGGGTTATTATTCTTATGTACCAACTATTGTACACACTGTGGGTTTTTTCTCACACTTGGCTCGCATTGTTAACTTGAACTTGAGTGTTCGTTGTGATTGTAAGCTGCTTCAAAAGAATAAAAGGTTTTGGAATTGATGGAACAAAATCATAAAATGTTGCAGCACTAGCTTATTGAGAAGATTTTTTTTTATTATTCATTCAAGTTTTTCACTCTAAAAACCTGTGAAAAAGTTCAGAAATACAGAAAGGGAGAAACAGGAATGGAAAAAAACAAACTTTCATCTATGTAAAAATATAGAAAGACAAGAATGAGACTTACCATAGACCAGGGTAAACGTTGGCTGTGTCTTCCTCTTCACCCTGTCAGATAAAACGTACTTAGTCATAATGTTCAGGATTGGGGTTCAGTTTAAATGCATCTCATCTGGAAAATGATTCAGCAGAAGGTAGAAAAGAGGATTTAATAACTAGCCACACAGCTTAACAATAATGCAGAATTTAAGGATATCCAGCAACAATGCCTTGCAAAACATATTCAAAAAACTTGAATGTTTTCACATTTTTTCATATTACAACTGGTAATATTGGTCTGTGGAAAAACATGGGAAAAACAGCCCATGTTTTCCCACAATCAGGTTAATTAATCTTTCCAAATTGTTCTTATGAATCTGTTTCTGTTGTTCTTTGACAGATTGTCAACCTCCCTAGGCTGTATCCTGAATCCCTGCAATCCCTGTCTTCCTAATCCCACTCCTATCCATGACTCTGCAAGGATAAATGAGTCTAGATAATAAATTAATCAAATAAATTAGGGAAAAGTCACATTACACTTTTCAGATTCTGTGAACTCTTCCAACTTTGAACTCAAACATATAAATTTCTGAATAGAAATGCTGAATCAGTTTAGCCTTTCATCTATCTAATAAAAACATTAAAAACAACAAAAAGTGGACTAAGGCGGCTTAAGCTCCACCACAAATGAACCAGACTTATGTAGTGATTTATAGTTGGCTGAACAGAGTAAAGCAGTGTTGAAAACAACCACACCTTTATTTATTTTATTTATTTTTTGATAGAAAATAATATTCAGCTATGGACCTCATACGCTGCTGGAGGGAGATGCACTGCCCCTCAAAAAATGTTACCACACCCCCAAGGATAAATATATTTTTATATAGATATGAAATGTATACTTTTTTAGGTTTTGGTTTAGGTGCTAATGGGGAAAAAAAAGGTTAACTAATGTTTTCAATACTGAACACTTTGCAGCAGCCTTATCTCCACAGTGCATTCGCCATTTCTATCCATCTGGTTTCAATTCTTTCCACCTGCCCATCAGTCTGCAGCCATGGATAGGTGAGCCTATTACACGCTTCTCACACTGTTCAGTAGACACACTTCTACATGCATGCGCACACCTCCACTCCCACAATATACACACCAGCTTTTACTTTATGGTAATTTAACTTGTCATGCACATCAGCCAAATCTGCTCCTCTGTAAAACGGCTGTTAGTGAAGCCACATCAGGGCCCTGATGAAGTGATTCAGCGTCCAGAACGAGGAGCTCAAACAACCACTGGGCACAAAATAGCACAAAGTCATAGCCTATATTGTGTTTTAGAATACCATTCTAACCTCAGGGATTCTCAGAACAACTTGGAGGAGAGTGCCAGATAAATAAAGTGAAATTAAATGCAGGTAGGCAATGCAAGTCCGACTTGCTTACTTGTTTAACTCAAGTAGCATTAAATGTACAGACATTCTATGAATGAAAGGTAAAATGATTAACTATCTGCTGGAAAATTAGACACTTGATCCTAAAGTTCAAGATTTATTTGAGGATACCATATCAGCTAAAAGCCAATTATAATGTGATTTATCATTGCAACAGCACATTCCTCATAATTAATCCTAAGCATGAAAGAATTAAATCCCTAGAGGGTGAGAATAGACACATGTTGTTGTTTTTTTCCTTTTCTTTTTTTATAGTCTTTAATTTATGTCTTTTCATAATTTATCATCCTTAAAATGTTGTTTTAAATATTTGTTTTTATCCTAACGTGCATCTCATATTAAGTTTGATTTAATTTAACTCAATTTGATAAGTAACTAACAAATTAGTTGCCTATCAAATTATGTGTTGACCTGCCACATAAAATCACAAAAACATTCATTACAATTGTTGTACAATGACAAAATATCTGGGGATTTTATGAAGCATAATGCTTGTTTTTATTCATTTATCTATTGGAGCACAGAGTTAAGGGTCACCACCATATATGTAATTCAGGGCATCAGTGTCTTCAAGGCTATTTATTTCTTTCCAGAATCCCTGTCCCAGGCCAAGGCTGCCTGTTTCACTTGCAGACAAAAGAGGAAATAAATAAATAAAGGCAAAGTGAATTTGCTGATACTGCTGAGCTCCAATGTTGCAGGATGTGCCATCATGTGAAACATCACTTTTCAGTCAACTACACACTTTCTCTGCACACACAGTATGTTTATTGCACCTCAATCCACCTCTCAGGTTGTCTTGACCTCCTTTGCTCTCTGTCTCTTTGCCCCACTATGAGTTTTTCAAGCTCCAAAAGCACTTTTTGTCTATTTATGTTGTGTCAGTGTTCCCCCAGACCTCGACACCAGCTGTACTATTTCAGTTCAGCAGTTCCTGAACTCTCTGTGTGACACGTTAAGCTCCATGCAAGCTGAGAACAAACAAATATTGTCAGAGCTGAATAATAATACAACAAATAACACAAAAATAAAACCAAGTACATCAGCAAAAAAAAAAAAAAAAAAACCCCAAAGCCCTTTTTGCAGTTCCAAAGAGATTGCATTAGCAGGCAAGTCTAAAATTGTTTACGAGAAGACTGAATCGTGATCACGCAAGAAAAAAAAAAAATACAAGAGAATAAGTGAAAGGGCTAAATATGCTGTAGCTACGAGAGAAGGGATTAAAATAGATTGGAGAGAGTATGAATAGTGAGAGACGACTCTCAGAGATAATTACACACTCAGCATGTGTCTTTTCACTACCCCGATAACAGATCACATGGTTTCACAGCCAGACACATCAAAAGTCCATTCCCATTAACTTTTAATAATATACAGTCACAAAACTATGGCACATCAGCATGGGAGAATTGTTATTTCAAAGGGCAAAACTTGATTAAAAAAAAATAATAATAATCTTTGAATCACGCTGCAACATTTTGATTTATGGAATACTCAAAGTCTAATAGTAAGCTTGGTCTCCAACAGTGGCATGGCTGCTTGCCTTGTTTCCCGGTCATATAATACCCTTTGCAAACAGATGTTTAAGCCGCCAGCTAAAAGATGGGATTATGTGCATGAAATTTTCTGCTTCTTTTCGTCGATAAACAGAGACGGAAAAAAAGACTTTTGGGAAGAGTATGATTCATTCACTGACCTACAGGATGGCTGATGCTGTAGCACTCATTCAGTCCAAAGAGAAAAGTGTGAATTCATAATCACAAAAATTGTTTAAACTTTATTCAATATCTTCAGATTGTACCAATTTTCACCAGTTACTGCAACTGTAAGACAAACCTGACCCATCAGTACCCCATATTCTTGCCTTATTTCACTTTCTGAGTACATCTTTACAGTCGAGCCTGACAAACTGTGTGCAGTGCAGTAATGCTCATAATCGCCATCAAATATTAAGGCTGAAAGTGGCCTAATACAAATTCCTGAAGTATACAGATGATGGAAGGTTTATCTACATCATATGCAACATTGTAATGGCACAAAGAAAAAAAAATATTGTAAAGCAGTCTGCAAACTTGTCCTCACAGGAACTAGAAACATTAATTGTATGTTTATGAAAAGTTGGTCAAAATATGATGTCTTAGGGTGGGGAATCTAAACATAAAGAAATAAATCACAGCTTGTGAATTTCTTTCAGTTAAGTACATGGCAGGTACATTTTTGTGCAAGTATGTGCATCATTCACGCGCCACCATTTTGTATAACACAAGTATATTTGAATGATGTGTGAAACATAATCTGCTACCTTTGCTATATTACACCATATCAGTGTTGTTGTTTTGTTTTTTGTTTTTTTTTGTACTTTTATGTACTCATTACTTGACCACCTGGAGGACAGAGGTAAATCTTTTATGTACAATCTGAGTTTATTAAAGCAACTTAATTGATAGCTGTAGGAAACAGGTCCAGTTCCCCTTCCATCTCAGTCACTTCAAGGGATAAGCATGCAGAGGTGAGTGAATCTCCAATGCAGACAGAACCTCTGCATACTCATCAGAAGCATCATTGTACTGAAATTTGCCCAGAAATTCTAAATTTTGACAAGTTTGGCGTCGTTGTAAGGCTTATTTCATTAGCATTACGACGCTAATGAAATAAGGCTTTGCTGGAGATTAAATTTCAGTCATTTATTTCAGCAAAGCTGCTACTATCATATGCATAGAAATACATACTGGTGTTATGTACTATAGTTGTGGATCTTTGTTCTCCAATAAAAAAGGCAGGTATGCAATAGTCTCAAATGTGATATGATAATAACAGACTTACATACTTAGCGACCATTAGAGTAACCAATTAACCTAAAATCCATATTTTGGGGCTGTGGGAGGAAGCCAGAGGCCATGGCGGGATCACATACATCCACCTGGAGAACATGCACACTCCATGCAGAATGGCTCCAGACAGAACTGAAACACAATATATTCTTGGTAGAGAACAGTGCGGACAACTGTCCTGCAATTAGCACGTAAAAGAACGTAAAACTTGCATTCACCTTATCCAGAGTGGAAATAAGTTTGGATAAAAAGCTAAAGTCAAGACAGACAATTATAAGGTTATGCTTGCATGCTGCCCCTTTAAATCAATGCACTTAAAGAAGTCCTAAAAGCAAGTGAGCAGAGCATTGTAGGAAATCCAATACGAATTTAGCTGGCAGCTCACCGATTATTTACTTCTTCCCTCTTTCTCTTTTTGTTCTCTCGGAGTGAGGCCTATAATTAGCCAACTGCAAGAAAAGGTTAGGAAAGAGTGTGGAGAGACACTGTATGCAACTGCTGTTGTAGTTAAAGGTAAGATCCTTTAAAACATAAGGCTGTCGAATACATTCAGCAAAGTACACAAAGGTTAAAGGCAAGATTGTTTCTTCCAAAACGGCAACATATTTATGCACTCTGTCTAAAACGAGCTGCAGCATAAGTGCTATCAAATATAAGCTATCCTACTGGATTTTAAAAATCTGCAATGATAGAGTAGAGATGCCCAATCTGTGCCACTAAGCAGTTTTCTAAATCCCATCTACACATGCTAAAGTGAACAGCTGTGTCCACAGAAATAGTACCAGAGTGGTGG